AGTCGCCCGCAGCAGAACATAGTGCCTTGAACAATGACAACATTTTGTGTTTGTACACAGGCAGGGATCTTACTACATGAATTATTATTTCTTATCAGAGAGTTGTGGATTATTACATACTGGTACTTTTCAGAGAAGTCTGGTGTCTCAAATAATTTGGACCAGTCTGCTTTGTTCACCTGTATTTCTTCAGCAATGACATGACCTGTGAATGAGGAAGAAAAAGTTGGTTAAAGTCTAAGTACAACAAAATCACATCACTTTGTTTGGCAGTTACAGGTTTTACATAGTTTGGCTAAACTGTGCTCAGTTAATCCAAGATTACAGCACAGTAATAGAAGTTCAAATGCCTACACCACACTGACTGAGTGAGTGTTAGAGCAAACAAAGCAAAAAGTTCAGAGACTGTGTAAAACCAAGTTTGTTACAGTCACATTTAGCTGGCCCACAACACAAGTAGTGAACTGAGTGTTTGGTGGCTGACAGCTAAGTGACTACAGTACACACCTCGTTTGATCTCCTCCGTTATAACGTTGAAGGTGGAGTGACAAATGTTGTAGGTGGTGTTGACCTGTGGGTATGTCGGGGTGATGATGGGCATTAAGTGGTCACGGTCTCTGGGACTGACCTGCAAATGTAGAAGAGCACAGATTTTCAGCTTAGATGTGTTTGAAATGTGAGAATAGAGCACGATTCCATGAACGTAGCTTAAAATCCTGAAAAACCCTGCTGAGGTCTTACTCTGGGATCCCAGAAAGGAAGGTTGAAGTGGAGGTCTTTCACGTCCCGCAGGTGCACTGGCACTGGCCACATCCTGACATAAAACACAGGATTTTCAAATCATTCAATCCTCATCTGCAAATTTTACAAAGCATTTACATGCAGCTACATTTTCAGAGTGATTAACTTTGCCCCAGATGTTTTTATCCAACACAACACCTGCATTTTGTGATGCCACTGGTGATTTAGTCAGTTTTAAACAAGCTGTACATCAAAACACATGTTCATAAATTGTATTTTTCTCCCCAAACACCACCGCTTTCTGATCCAGTGGTTAAGGCAAGAATGATCCAAGAATGTAGCCAGTACTAAAACAGCCCTACACCAGAAACTACGTTTGCTAGTGGCCTTTGAAAAACTGAGGAAGGCTCACTTTAAGAGGAAAGCACCAAGTGATATGAACAGCTGTTTTCCAACCAATCACAGAATAGTTAAATGTTTCCCATAATAAAAACATACAGAGATTAATTCAGTTCCACTCGGTTTGATTTCTATAGAGCCAAATCAGAACAAGGCACTTGACATAGTAAGGTCAAGACCTTACAGGATTATAGAGGCAAACCCAACAAATCCCCCTAGAGCAAGTACTGGTGACACTGGGAAAGAAAAACTCCCTTTAACAAGAGAAACCTCTGACATGTATGGATTAGAAACTGGTTATTGCAGTAAGTGCATAGTGTTTTTTAAATACAGTACATAGGGCTTCCATAAAGGTCAAGTGTGTCGACCCTGACTGCAGTGGCTCTTGCTGCTAAGTGAACCCGGTGGTGTTTCATTTAACAAGGACATCAGAAATGCTGGGACAACTCACCACATAGAGTAGGCCTTGAAGAATTTGAAGACCAGGGTGGGTGCTGGAGCATTTGGGTAGCGCTGACAAGTTCTGGCTACCAGTATGGCCCATGATACACCACCCAAGAAGCCCAGTCTGTTGGAGTAAATGTTACGCTCTGCGGGGAAATAAGAGGATGAGAAAAATAAATAAAACCTCTACATAGTTTGTGTAAATGTATCATTATCATGTCAGGGGAAAAGCCTAACTAGTCTCTTGAGTGACTGTCAAGCTGAACTAGTTCTGTGTGTTGCACTCACGTTGGCCCCACAGTTTGATGACTCTCAGCACCAGCCTGAAGTTATCAACATTAGGCACCAGCCTGAGGATCTCACATGCCACTCTGTAACCTAGAAAAACACACAGACAACAAAGATTAATGTAGAAGCAGTAAGTGCAAAACAAAACAAATAAAAGACTAAACTACAAATGCTGCAGAATTTCTGATCGGTTGTGCACTTTAATCTGATTCTTATCATTGAGACTCCTGACACAGCGGTCGTCCATGCCCTTCAGCAGCCTGTCATCGAAAAGATCCACATTTTCAGGAATGGACTTCATCATTAACCGGGCAAAGGTTAAGTCAGTCTAGAAAATTACAGAATCACAAAAACAATGATTAGGACGCATGAGAACTTCGACTGAAGATACTGCAGACAGTGGAGGTTTTAATTATTTCTCTAGACTAATTACCTTCACTCCATGAAAGGACAGCTGGATGAGGGGGATAAATGCCACTAAGACCTAGGGACAGCAATATTGTCAGTCACTTGTACCTAGGAGAAAAACATCCTTCCACTCGTATGCTCTAATACGACTTACCTGTAGATCCTTGACCTCTCATTTTGATGACATCTACAGCAGCTGTCCTGCCGTGTAAGTCAGGAGGTACTGAGCTCCAACATGTTACCACTTTTGGATTTGAATGTTTCAGGCAGGAGTGGGAGCAGCTTTAGCATTGGTGACCTCCTCATTAGAGTAATGTGTCTGTGTCTTCTGGTTGATACTCTACATCATCTTCCTCCTCAGAAACCTGCTCATCCGTATTGCTATGCTGCTCTGTGTCCTCAGCCTCATTTTCAGCAAAGATATGATCCAGAGCTTGGCTTATTGTAAATATTCTTCTCATTGTCGCATGCTGCAAACTGGAAATGTGTACTTTGCAAGTCACCGACTCTAAACTGAATTGGTCTTATGCAGGCCTTATACGTCTGAATATGTCTGTTTTTGTTTGTTTTATTTGTTCAGGGAAGGAGACAAACAGGCAAAGAGAGAAGCCCTTAACTGAAGCTCACATGTTTAGGAGAGGAGCTGGCTGTCAGTGGGCTGTTGGCTAACAGTGCTAGTGAGCTGACAGTGTGTTTATGATTTCAGTTTTGGCACTAATTATTGTTTTATAATCTTATATTATAACTGGGTCAAAACAAACCCTAACAACACAAAGGTCATCATTTTCACCAGAGCCTTTTTTTTTTTAATTTTGTTTAAATAAAGGTTCCTGACAAAGTCAGAAAGCCTTGATTCAATAAATAAATGTATGTGTTACTTTTATGCATTTAAAACCTAAAACAGGTCAGTGCCGACCCTAATATAAGAGGATGTTACTGTAAATATAAAAGGACTAGCAGTGGTGGAAGATGTACTCAGATTGTTTACTTCAGTTAAAGTAACAATACCAAATGTAAAAATACTCTGTTCCAAATAAAGCACATGACAATAAACACTTTGAGTCTTGAAGTAATTCATCATGCATACTGGCATATTTCACATTAATGTATATCATCTTTCAGGATTATCATTCTTGATGCATTATTGCATTTAATGTTGCAGTTGGTAAAGGTGAAGCTCATTTTAACTACCATGTATACTTATAATTTGATTTACTGCTGGGTAGCTTGTGAATTTCCAACTAGGGATCAGTCTTGATTACACTGTATTTTATAAAGTTAATCTGATTCTGAAAATAATTATATAGCCTAACTAGTGTTATCAGATCAGTGTGGTGGAGTGAAAAGTACAAATGTAGTGAAGTTGAAGTAGTAAGCAAGAGAAAATGGAAAATACTCAAGTAGAATAGGCTACTTCAAAATTATATTTGAGTAAATGTACTTAGTTACTTTCCAACTCTTGTGACTGGAGCTTCCTAAGAAATCAGAATTAAACTGTGTGAGCTACAGACAATATCCCCATAACAAAGTATGTATCAACACCAGCCCAAAACATTTACAAAACACAAGCAATTTCAGAGGATCAGAAAAATCCTGTACAGGACCTGTTTTAATTAACTTAAATCTTTAATTTAAAAAAACTATATAAAAGTACTCACGTTGACATCACTGCGATAGTTAAGCACTTTTTTCTTTTTGTCAAATGAGAAATATCTTGATTTCACTCAGATATAGTGTGTTGTTGATCAGAAGTTGGTTGATTTCACTCAGAAGTAAAAGTTAGACAATTTTGAGAACTAAAGGAAAATCACATGCACTGCACTTTTCTCATCACAGTTGGGTTAATGTTTGTGTTCAAATTGTGCACAGTTTTGTAGAACAACTTTTGTTTTTTAAAACATAACGTTACCTAGTGAACTAGTTTTGCCCAGATATAAACTGTTTCAACAATTCTACATGCACTTTTTTGTCAGCTTTATAATATTAGTCCATCTGATTCTATAAAACATTTGGGAGTTGGGCCTATATGATCACCTTTTTGTCACACAAGAAGTGGACTACACCTATAGTTTAGCTATGTGTTGTTTTCAAAGGTGGATTAAATTTTCAAACACATAACCATATGTGTCATTAACCTACATGTAAAGATGTCGGACCTGCCTCCGTTCATTTTACAGTCTGGTATATGGTTATTGATTAACTGACAAACTGAAGAGGTTATTTCATTCCAGCCCTGCATTAACTAATGCGTCACCATGGTCCAGTGTGCGAGTTCACAGACACTGAGCAGTTTTACACATCAGTGTAATAACTGATCCATTAGCACTAGAAAATGAACGTGTCATTTTATGATAATGAGGTAGGGTTTGCAGCACTTGTAAACCTGACATAACGTGACATAACAAACATGATTCCAACTATACTTCAGCCAGCAAACCTACCTCCCAATCTTCTTGATGGTAAACAGCCTATAGATGTAGCTTTTATAGAGAAAATGAACATATTGAATGACAACATCAGTATTTGTGGTTGCAGTAGTTAAGTACAAAAAAATAGCACAAATGTAATTTAACTACTTCAGTCTCCATGCAAGCGAATGCATAGTGTAGTAAAACTACCAGTTTAATTACATGTAATTCACTACTTCCCAAATCCGGAAATAGGCAGCTATTATACCAACTTACAATAAATTGATTATAATTTGAGTAAAAATGTTTTGACCAAATATATCAAGGAAAATTAAGCAGATAGAAGGTTTTATGTGTGACACAAATACTTTATAAAGTTTCCACAAATATATACTGTGCTGTCCAAAGAAGATGTGTGGTTAAGACTTCAGTAATGTAGGCTGGTGGTTCAGTCAACAGAACTTATATAAATAAATCAAAGAAAATATGCAAAACTATAGATGTAAGTATAATATCCAAGCAATCTGACTCATATTTTTAAGTAAATCTGAACTTTGACTTGTAATCTCAGGAAAGCCCTTTGTTTTCTTGAGGAGCAGTTTTGAGAAAACTAGGAACTAATAGAAAGTATAAAAGCCGAGTGACTTTGATACGGTTTACTTGTGACTCTGTGTGAACATAGGTCGGCTAAACCTATTCTCATTTTGACAGAAAATTCACATTAAATGCTGTTGCTCCATTTAAGATGGTGAGATATTTTATTTGAAATACAGCTATGCAAAAATAGTTGTGGATGGTATTTTAAGTTGAGATAACAAGAGAAATAACGTTAAAAATGTGGGCCACCGTTTGTCTCAATGTAGTATTTGATTTTTTTTTTTTTTTATAATGTGTTTTTGCTTTTGTTAATGTATTTCTGTATTTTGCACCGCAGGGTCACATACAGAAAACAAATAGTGTGTGTACATAATTGTAACTGTGGTTTTTATTAGGCTATTTTATAAATGCAGTTTTTGGCTGATTACTTGTTTTATTACTACAACTCTTACCAAATCGGAGTCTCTAAAAATTAACAAACATCCTACTACTTGTTAGTGGAAGGAAATTTCCAGGTAGCGTTCAATTCTACGAAAAACTTGAACGCAGCACACGGAGCGTTGATATGAGGGGTTTGGACGGTGAAAACAAAATGGACATCGTTCGAAAATAGCTTAGTAAGTCTGATAATTCATATCCCCACGTAAAGGCATTAGTTCAGATAAACTATGGGGATAATGTAAAGACCAAAACAGTGTATTTACTAAAAGCATCGTCATTTTGAGCAACGACTGCTAGTTTGGTAACGTTAGTTAGCCTCCGTAGCTTAGAAACGCATGCTAGTGTTAGCTGTGTATAAAATGTTATCATTCACGGGATGACATCGACCCCTAAGACGAGCATAGTAGTAAATACAGGCTGGCATTTGTTGATTTAAATAGCGCCAAACGAAAGCATTCTATGGACCGATCGTAACGCTTCCTAGCTTAATGTTAGATTTCTCGGTCAGCTTGTGTTTGTTGTTGCACTGTTACTGAATCAAACAGCAGCCATTATCTTATCCCACAGAGGTGCAGTCATGCTTTCATAAATGATAAGAAGCCATGCATCAATTTGACTAGCATTAAGGATGCAACTGAAGAAAATACACTTTGGTCATAGCTGAATTTTCTTTAGCGGCCTCAGGTTGTCGCTGTTGTCATCCTCATCAAAACCCATTTCTGATTAGATTAGACTAGTAAGGCTGAGGTTACCTTTGATCCCCAGGTAAAGAAATCCCATATTCAGTTGTAAAATGTGTGTGTAAGCAGCCCGACTCTTGATCTCAAATACGGATCTTTTTAACACTAGTTTTCTCACTAAGAGACACCATAACTCTGATTTTAGATACATATCTAATACAAAGATATTTCCACCAAAACTGCTTTTTAAGATTGTTACTATGTAACTTAGTAAGCATGCATATGGGTGTCATAGAAAGTACATTGATGCTTGTTTTGGAGAGCAGTCATGTAATAAGGAATGTGTTGTTTGGGTAGAGGTCACCCATTTTATGAGATGCTCATTCCCTGTTTAGAAGCTTATTGGTTTTCTAGGAACCAGGAAAGCCATGTAAGTCGAGCCAGCTTAGAAATTGGATCCAGTTTCTTTTGTTACCTGAGCAATATCTTTTCTTGTACAACAGAGTAGCTCTGCTCCATTGCAGTTATCATTGCATTACAAAGCTGCACCAGACACTTTTTGGGGTTGTTTGATCCACATGCCACTTCTTTTTCAGCATATTTCATATGGCTAGAAGTTTCCCAGTCCTTTTTTGTTTGTATTTTTGTATACTTTTCTCATTCTAAATATAGCTGTGTTTGTCTGATTTCATGACAGCCTGTCTATGTCAGACATCTGACTGACACGTCACAAAGAACCTGCGGGAAGAAAAGTGAAAGAAGCCTGAGTTCTGAAGAATGGAGACTCGCTTTGGTAATATTGTGTTCAGCTCTAAGTTTGACTCAGGGAACCTGGCACATGTGGAGAAGGTGGAGAAGGTGGAGAAGGGCAGCTCTAGCCCTTCCTCTGATACAGCTTCTGGTGGAAGTGCCCTCTTAGGGTCAAACATTAACCCTGACTATGAGTTCAACGTGTGGACGCAACCAGACTGTGCTGGCACAGAACATGAAAATGGAAACAGGTAAGAAAACCTCTGCCTTACACTGATCAGACATAACGTTATAACCAGCTGTCTAATATTGTGTAAGTCCCCTTACACATTTTTTCTGATTGCAACAAATCAGCTTCAAGAACTGACTGTTCACTTGCTGCCTAATATAACCCACTCCTTGTCAGGTGCTGTTGTAATGAGATAATCACTGTTATTCACTTGCTAGTGGGTTTAATGTTGTGGCTGATCAGTCTATGTTGTTTATAGGAGAGGACAGGAAAAGGCATGAACAATGCTTATACCAGTTCTTTAGATAAATGGGTTTACCTGCTGCACACAACCTTTACACTGAGCTGCATTACTTACAACATCCCAAATCGTGTTTTTGTATTTCAGATCATGGTTTTACTTCAGTGTGCGGGGTGCAACACCTGGGAAAATACTGAAGATCAATGTGATGAATATGAACAACCAGAGGAAGCTCTACAGCCAGGGCATGGCTCCTCTTGTTCGCACTGTACCTGGGAAGAACCGCTGGGAAAGGATACGGGACAGACCCACAACTGAAGTACATGCACACACTCTATAGGGGTCAGACAAAAGATATGGACAACAGGAGCCAATGGGGCAGAGTGATTAACTGCTTCCTGACAGTTATTATCATCTATTCCAGTAATATGTCTCTTCATCCCTTTCCAGATGGTAGAGAACCAATTCATTCTCTCGTTCACTCACCGGCTATCAGAGGTGCGAGGGACAACCACCTACTTTTCCTTCTGCTTTCCATTCTCCTACACTGAGTGCCAGGAGATGCTGCAGCAGCTGGATGAGACCTACCCCAGTGCTGTTCAGCTCAGTCCTAGCAGGTAGAACACAGCGCAACCCTGCCTCACACATACATATAAGTCATGTTGTTTGAAACTACATGGTATGTAAAATAATCTATGACTTATTTGGCTGTTTATTGTGCCCCTTTCTTTTATCCTCAACTGCTACCAGTGCACCAGACATTGTATATTACCATAGGGAGCTGCTGTGCTACTCTCTAGATGGCAATAGGGTGGACCTGCTCACTGTGACCAACTGCAACGGGATACAAGAGGAGAGAGAACCCCGTCTGCCTAAACTGTTCCCTGACACCAACACTCCAAGACCACACCGCTTCTCCAGCAAACGGGTATCACTCAGTCATACATAGACAGAGTCGTATTCTTTTTCATAGCTCTTTAATAGCAAAGGCTGATGTGGACTCGCCTGATAATATCAAGATGGTGAAGTTGAAACCTTGACCCTTGTGTTTTGTGGTGTGTTTGCAGGTGTTTTTTCTCAGCAGTCGGGTGCACCCTGGGGAAACCCCCTCATCATTTGTGTTTAATGGTTTCTTAAACTTTATCCTAAGAAGAGATGACCCACGTGCTCACGTGCTTCGCAGCATGTTTGTGTTCAAGCTCATTCCCATGCTAAACCCAGATGGGGTTGTCCGTGGCCACTACAGGTGAGAATTTCACATTTCCATACATGTATCATCCTCACAGCACCAATGTAACATTTGGCAGATCAGATCAGATCAGATCAGTGTAGTTTAAGATCTAGTCTTGTGGTTACATGCTTTAAGTTAGACACATGATGTACACAAGAAGTAATTTTCTCTTGGTAATAATTGTGTGTGCAGTGTGTACCTCAAAACTAACCCTTTTGAGAAGTGCTATATATAGGACTTGCATGCATGCTGCACTGATTTGTTATTGTTGTAACAAAGCAGGTTTGCTTTATATCATCATATGACTCAGCCTGTAGCAGAGATACAATTAAGTTATAGTTTTGTTAGAGTTAGAGAGGCTAACAGTCATGCATATGAGTTGATCAAGAGTGTTTTTGGCTTGTGGCTTTAGCCTGTTCTCAAAACATGGCGCCGAATATGAGAAAACACTCATGTGGCTGCCTGTTTTCTCTCACAGCCCCACCTTTAATTTGCCATTTAGAGTCAACTTGCTTTTTTTAAAACAGGATTAAGGCATTTTCATGCATGAACTCTGGACTATGTCCAAGGAATTGGGTCTGGACTTTGTCCAGAGTTGCCCTTTCACACATGTAGCATACAACAGGAGAAAGTCTGCATCAGATGCATTCTCACCTACTGGAAATACTTTGATTTATGCAAGGAGGGGACTGGCTGGGCAGGAGGTGGGACATGATGCAGTCAGTATGTAATTTGGTCATAAACAACAGAGTCTCTGATGATTGTGGCAGTCGCTCTTAATGACAGAAATTCCAGAATCATGTTGTGTCTCCAGTTAGATATTTTCGTTGGCATCTCCGTTGTAAATGACCTTTTCTTTTTTTTTCACCATCCGATGTTGCACACCAGTCACATGACAGAACATCCACACGCCCACTGGCTCCGTTTGAATACTTCCGATTAGATGCTGCTGTGTTTTCACGTGGGCTCACTCCAGCTTACTCACACCTTACACGGATTTTGTAGAAAGATGCTGGCAGTGTCAAGTCCCCTTAAGGTCAGGGTCAGCTAACTCAGATGCACGTACAGTTCCTCTGGGTAATGTCTAGAGAATTTCCGGGTTCCTTTTTAGACATGCACTAAAAGCAGTGCAATGTGGCATTGATGTCCAATCACTGTTACAGAGGAAATGCATGTTATAGGGCTTTGCTGTGTTTTGCCATCCATTTTAAAAGGCTGTTTTTTAATCTGTCTTTTGCAGGACTGATTCCAGGGGAGTGAACTTGAACAGACAATACTTGAACCCAAGCCCTGAGTTGCACCCATCCATCTATGCAGCGAAAGCCCTGTTGCTCTACCACCACACACACAACCGCTTGCACAACACACAGTGCAGCACTCACTCTAACAGCCCTACATGCACACAGAGCCAGGCCCTCAGCATCAGACCCGCCAGCCAGCGTCAAACTCCTCCCCTCACTGCCCTGGAAGTCACTTTGAATCAACGAAATGCAGAGAAGGATGCAGACCCCACACAGCCTGAAGTTCCCATGGTGATGGAAGAAAACGGCTGGGTCACCACAGACCAGAACAGCTCCTTGAGCTCCTCAGAGACTGTAGCTCATGTTACTGTAGAGGTCCCACCGGTGGATGAACAGGTATCGATTCCCCCCCAGGAGGGGGGTGTGGCATATTATGTGGACTTGCATGGCCATGCCTCCAAACGTGGGTGCTTCATGTATGGAAATAGCCTTCCTGACGAGAGCCAGCAGGTAAGCATTGTACATTTACTTAACCCTTCCTTTGAAGGACTTTTGGAAAATGTTCAAATGACATTTAGCTGTCACTGTTTATTAGCATTTCACTGAATTTTTGAAGTACTGTATGTCCCTGACATTTTTTTTCATCCCCCTATGGCAGCCACAACAGATGGGGTACTAAAACGTTTGTTCACAATATCTCAGCTGCAGTGGACTCTTTCCTCTGTCTGTATCTCTGCAGGTAGAGAACATGCTGTATCCCAGGCTGATCGCTGTGAACTCTGCCCACTTTGATTTCCTGGGCTGTAACTTCTCAGAGAAAAACATGTATGCACGAGACAAGAGAGATGGGCAGTCTAAAGAAGGCAGCGGGCGGGTGGCCATTCACAAGTCCATAGGACTGCTTCACAGGTCAGATGTTAATGGATGCACACTACTGTAAGAGCTGATATTCAGGGTAGTCAGCTCAGATATAACAACATAGCTGTTTTTTAAATTTGTTTTTATGCCTCTGCGCCGGTGATAGCTGTAGCTGGAGGCTAGTGTTGTAGTGTATCAAGACCGAGACAAGACCAAGACTAGACCAGTGCAGTTAAACTGTATTTGATAGTTTGATAGTACTGGCTCGCCCATGTTTCAGTGACACTATAGGAGTGACTTAAGACTTGGTCTTAAGGATGAACTGATTAGATTTTGGTGGTTAAAGGTCAAGGTCAGTGACCTCACATCTGCCCCATTCTCGTGAATTTGACTGGTGGAGGTATAGAATTACAAAATGGTAATTCTAGTATGAGTTTTAATAAGTCAAATGTAAGGTTTTCAGGACTTCTGGGATATGTAATTATTCTGCTGTTACTGTGTGCATCATGATTTTTTTTTGTGTTAGGTTTATGTGATCAAAACAAAATCTGCATGAGTCAGAGTAAATATATATTTATAGAAATCAACAGTTGTAGTAATAATTAGTCATGTTTCTGTTATGGGCTACTCAACAGCTACACTCTGGAGTGCAACTACAACACAGGAAAGACCATGAACACCATCCCACCTGCCTGCCATGACAACGGACGGGCAACCCCCCCTCCACCTCCCTCATTCCCTCCAAAGTACACTCCGGAAATATTTGAACAGGTAGGAACACAAGAGTGGTTTGTTTACAAGTATTTCATGTTATTCATACCGGATGTTAGCTGGAGCTTCTGTGGGTGTATCAATCAACAACATATTACATCCAAAGCTCTTGCCTCCCTGTCAACAATTGATGATTTCCAAGCTAATGTTTGTTGCATGGATGTTTTTGTAAGATGGCTTTAATGTTTTTAATATTTGAGAGCTGTAAAAGCTACAGTATGCCACAAATCTAAGTACACTCTTGGTTAGTTTCACAAAAATGTTAAGTAATTACAAATCCTGTCCTTTAAATATATTTTATTTGTTTTCAGTGAAATCCCAATCAGAATTAATCTGAGAAACAGAAATGTTTGACTGGTTAAAGAATAAAGGTGTTTTGTTGGATTCAAGTCAAGGGACGTACCGTTCACTTTTTTCTTTTTAAAAACTGTTTTTGGAATCATTGTCATGTTGGGAAGTTCCTCTTAGCTATGACACCTTTTGTTACTTGTACTATGGCTCTTCCTGTGCCTCTTAACCAGTGCAGTACCTGTGTTTATGAAGTCTCACAATCAGGTTTCTACTTGTTCAGGTGTTCCTACCATCTGCGATAGATGTGGAACGGTTCACAAAAGTCATGGTTCTGTTCATATCACAGTTTTGGGTTTGGTATAGTTTTGTTTTGGTAAAGCGAGGGAAAGGCACTGCCAGTTTCAACATGCTTTTCATTTATTTGGCAAAAAGTTAAATATTTGCCTTACAATTCTGACTAAGACCATAAGGAGCAAACGCTTTTTCATTGTCAACATAAAATGCAGCATAACCCAAATGCGCACTGTAGAAAGTTTCAAAACCGCTGCACTGTTCATTCTATTTTCATGGTCTTCTGCAAGATGATGAGCTTGTTCACACTCTCGGTTTCAAGGCGAGATCTGTTAGAGAAAATTCTTTGTTGGAACAGCAAAGTAACGTCATTTTATCCACCACTGAAAAAGGATTGCATGCCCTGAATCGTGACTAGTGAAGCGAATGGGTCGGCTTTTTTACTTGAAGCGTTCCACACCTAATGTGCAGTCATGTTGCACAACTCGGACCAAAACTGAGAAGGTTGTGATGCTCGAACACTTAGCCTGAAATTCACAGGTGTTCGCACTTTTGTTGCATTGAGGTTTTACAGTAGGGCCAGTATTTTCAGTGTAGTCTCTCAAACCTGCTTGTTTTTCATTAGGAGTAAGATGAAATATCCTACAGTTCAACTTACAACAGTACATATGCACAGGAGTGTCCTTTGTTTTGTTGTATACTGCACCTACTAACCAATTTTACCTGCTAAGATAAAGCAATTCTGAAATGCACTGAACTGATGTGCATCAGGTGGGACGTGCTGTGGCTGTCTCAGCTCTGGACATGGCAGAGTGTAACCCCTGGCCTCGGCTGGTGCTGTCCGAGCACAGCTGCTTGACGAATCTGCGAGCCTGGATCCTCAAGCATGTCCGCAACACCAAAGGCCTGAACACACACATACACACTCACCCTCCACCAAGAATACACCACAATGGCAGCAAGGCATCTCCACCAAAGAGCTTCAGCAAGTGAGTTTCACAGACATTTCTTTAGAAAACCCAAGGAGACAGACGACCCACTTAAGTGTCTTTAGTATCTTTGTCACACATAACATTTGGGCCATCAGTTTCTATGTCTGTCTTGATTTTCGGAGCAGCTGTCTGTCTGGCTCGGCGTCAGAGAACACCCTCAGCCGTGTTCGCTGCAACAGCCACAGTAGCAGCAGCCAGACGCCCTCCCCAAAGATGCACAGCTCCCCGAGCTTTACTTTTGGCTGCCCTCCTCCCCGAACTCACATGCAGCACAACAACACACACACCGGTGGACGCGGAGGCAACAAGACCCTCGGGCCAGTCAGGGGTAAGCTGATCTCTGAACTATCTGCTTGTGTTGCTGGTTGGCATTCATCTCTCCCTCGGTGTTCTTCCTGCCTTCCATTTCTCTCTCTCAACATTTCATATTCTGTCTTTTAGTGTGTCTCTTTCTCTCTGTGTGTTACAGTTAACTTCAGGTTTATGATGATGATGTAAAATTGGTCCTGAGCTTATGATTGGCTTGATTTTAGAGACATGACCAAATGGACTAATGTCCTGGATCTCTATGCCCTATAATGTCAGCATGACCCTAATATGACCCTTGCATGATCTTAGCATTACTGCACCAGCTGCTGCCACTGTATTTTTTACTTTCAGTTGAAGTCCTAACCTTAATGAGGATGAAACCACATGAGACCTGTTCCAAGGCACCAAGGTCAAATTGATTTCTTGGGCAGAAAAATTCTTAAAACATAATGACATGGTTTTCAGCTTAGACCCAATTTTTGCATTTTTTTTTATTTATTGTATAGATTCTGTCTTGCATCTCATCAGATGGCTTACTAGGAGCATTTTACCATCTGCTTTGCCTCAGTACATGGCTCTCAAACTCCAGGGCAGTTTCAAGACTTGGCCACGTCGCTTGTTTGTGTGCACACAAGCCCCGCATATCTCTGAGCCGGTGTGCATGTGTCTCCCTCTCTGTAGATGCTAAGCCTCAGGAGAAAAGACGTCCCCCCCACCACCGCTCCATCCTACGGTCTCCCAGCAATAGCCACACACTCTCCCGCCCCCCACTCTCACCCCCATCCTCATCCTCCTCCTCGTCTTCCTCAGTGTGTGCAGCAGGCTCCTGTCCCCTCCCGGCCTCTGTCAGTATGAAAGGTCTGTACTCCCTCCAGCCCCCTAGCCTCTCCACCTTGCTTCCTTCCTTGCAGGCTCTGCCCCGCCCTGGGCTGCTCTCCAAACTGAGCCCACGGCTCCTTCAGAGCCTACCTCCAGCCACCAACACTCCATCTGGGCCCACCCAGGACTGAATCTGATCTAACCTATGAAAGTGTGTGTGTATGTGTGTATGTGTGTGGACAATGTGTAAAAATCATGAGACTGTCTTTACAGACACCTGCACGTGCCTAGCACTCCACATCAACACAAGTGCAAATCACTATCTGGTGTATGTGTGTGTGTGTGTGTGTGCATGTGTGTGTGTTTGTGTGTGTGAGTGAGAGAGAGACTGAAACATCATCGGTGCTAGCTCCTAACTCTTCCTCAAGTATTTATCATTTTTCCTTCTGCACATGTCTACAAATTACATTTATCTACAGTATCAGCACCTTAGAATTAATGATGCACCTGGGTGCTCGTGTGTTCCTCAGTAATGACTGAAATGTCCTTTCATAACCAACCTTAAATCAAGCACTGGGTAACGAGCATCCCTGTGACATAGCTCTTGTGGATAAACATTACTAAACAAAGCAGACCGGTCAGTGTGTGAGTGTGTTTAGCAAAGAGAGACATTTGCTTGGATACATAATGTCCATCGTCTCCTAGGATTTGCAGAATATAGTACAGTAGATATTAGTAGTGCACATAAATATTGGAAATATTATACTAATGGATAAAATTATACTGAGTAAATCTCTTCTTCAGTCTGTATACAAGTAATAAGCTGAGAAGAGTTACTACGGTATGATACTGTGCTGATATTTGGGAAATGGCCAGGTTGCCAAGTTTGAGATTTTCTTCTTAATCGGCTATGATATGAATATATATATGTATATATATATATATAATCGATATTTATATCACATTGCACTTTAATCTTTGAATTATTTATTAGTTTTATTTAATTTATGAGAAATTTCAGTTGCTTAATTAGACTAAACATAGTGTGGCTTTGGTTTCTGTCATCTTTTTAAAGCAATTTCTGATCTTTTGTTTTATATTTATTTCACATTGCACTTTAATCTTTGAATTATTTATTAGTTTTATTTAATTTATGAGAAATTTCAGTTGCTTAATTAGACTAAACATAGTGTGGCTTTGGTTTCTGTCATCTTTTTAAAGCAATTTCTGATCTTTTGTTTCTTTTTTACACACAATAAGTGTATTTCACTCTGTAATGTCTCAACAGTTCAAGTGACACTTTCCCATTATAATCCTCTTTGTGTTAGTACTCGTTTCTGTGATCGGTGTTAACCTGTATCGTTCCATTGTCAGATCTTTGTCCTGACATTATGATATTTCACAGAGTAGCCTACTGCCAGAAACCTCATGACGCTGTTTGCCTACAAGCAATACCATATAAAACTATTTCTTTGTTCCAAATATGTGACTAAGTCAACATTGGCGAGTGTTAATTTTATAAGATTCCAATAGTGGTTTAGATGTAAATAAAGTGTGGTGTTTTGAAATTGTATTGTTTCATCAAACTGGTGCAAACTGGTATTTATTCAAATGCATTTGTGTGTTTCCTTGTGTAAATTGAAATTGACAGGTATGTAGTAGGCTGTCAGTGGACAAAGTTGATGTGTCGTGGTTAGCAGAGACGAGAATTATCTTGTTGTCTTTTGGTCTATATGTAAAGCTCATAGATCAGTTGTGGAATTATGATAAATTGTCTGTATTTAAGTTTTGTGTGCTGTCATCCAAGTACTTGATAACGGTCTGTTTTAAGACCAGCTATTTTAGATGCACTGAAAATGCAGATGTGGAATGTCTGTTATCTGGAGAGCTTTTAGGAACAGCAGATTAACCAGACCGTTGGTTGACTGGATCAAAACAGCTTTCAGAATATCTGGCCTTGCCTCGCTGTAGCTATCGTCTCTTCCAGTGCTGTTTAACATTGTAGTCATGGTGTGCCTTGCCCTGTTGTAAACAGTAGGTCTAGGAGGCTCTGCTTTTTAAAAAAAATCAGAAACCTTGAATTATATTGAAGCCTAGACACCTGCTTTCTTTTTTTTTTTTGGAGAAACTAGCCCTTAGAAGATGCAATGATGAGGGAAAAACAAGGCAAATTACTTGTAATTTAATGTCTTTTTGGCTATACAGGTCTAAACCATCGACTGTACTATATATATGACAAACAGTCTGACTGCAGAAGTGAAGCCATCGTGAGTTAATTGCCCTCTGTTGGCTGGTTGCGGTATAGGTCATAAACCCTGTGTCCCTCATATGAGTAGATGGGATATGAGCCAAACTAAAAACTCAGAAGTACAAATCTAATACTTTTTTTTTTTTGGAGAAACTAGCCCTTAGAAGATGCAATGATGAGGGAAAAACAAGGCAAATTACTTGTAATTTAATGTCTTTTTGGCTATACAGGTCTAAACCATCGACTGTACTATATATATGACAAACAGTCTGACTGCAGAAGTGAAGCCATCGTGAGTTAATTGCCCTCTGTTGGCTGGTTGCGGTATAGGTCATAAACCCTGTGTCCCTCATATGAGTAGATGGGATATGAGCCAAACTAAAAACTCAGAAGTACAAATCTAATACATTTCCCCAGAGGTCACTTCTGTGGTTTTTGGTACATATTAGCAGACTGATTTGTGTACAAGCGGTCATTTTTCTGGTGTTTGTTTTCACTATAAAAAGAGGGGTATTTCAGATGATTCGACAGCTTTGATTAGCGGTCTGATGCTGTCACTCCACTTGTGGTTGCTACTGTGCAGAATCTGGTTGTAAAAAAAAGCAAGATGGCAGCCGCTGTATTTGTGATATTTTGGCTTCACTTTTGCATAGTGGAGGGAAGTGGTGATGCAACGTGATGGTGACATCCGTCATATATGCAGTCAGTGTTCTAAAGTAAATGCTCTCTTACAGACACTAAGATTATAGATTTTCCTTTAGCCTACTGCATTCAGCACAGTGGGAAAATGTAATTATGACCTTTCAATTTTGCTCAGTGCCCTGAAAAATTGGGAGAACATGCTGTGGTTTTTATTCTGCTTTCTTACAGTGAACTTTGATGTCCTGTTTCCCTGGTGTTTCAACCCTAAACTTATATAGCCTCATTCAAAATTATGAAAACAAGCTTCAGGTGGAAGCACACTGTGTGCATAGTCACATTCTCACCAGGTCTTTCCGCTCTGTATTCCCTATGAGAATTGTGCTGTTTCTTTCAATGTGGTGCTAACCTTCTATGCCAGACTACGGTTAAGTGTTTGTCTGTGTAACATCTTTAACAATATCACCTTCTTGAATGTTCTGCTGTCTTTTACCACATCTGTTTAAGCTCTAGAATAAAAACTATTCCTCTGCTCTGTTGACTCTGTGTGTAATCTTTATTTATCACCTTCCATGTAGAGTACACATGATGAAAACAGGCCAAAGATGCTTAAAAGTCAAATCATTGAATCATCCTGACATATTGTAGTTTTATCAAAACATATCAGCTTGACCACTGATACATTAACACTGACCAGTGTGTATGTATTACCTAAATGTTTTTGACCAGATGTCCATCTCTTTGCTCCCTGTATTCCTGTCCCTTCATTTGGTCAACAGGCCTCAGATGTCCGGACTCTCAGGCCGGTGGACCCACTTCAGTGGGTTGGTCCAGAATGTCCTTCCCCATGCGCCCAGGGTGTGTGGGGAGAAGGTGTCGAACTCTCACAATCACTCATCACTCCTCAGAGGTTAGCCAACCTTGCTGGCTCACTCACAGAAAGCAAAGTTTCCTCATCTCTTTTATTACAAGTTTGTTCTGTTATATATTCTATATACAGCAGACTCTTGGTTTATCAAGTCCTTCTGTAATGTCTCCATCTGTCACAGGCTGCTCAAGAACTGGGGCCTGAACACATTGTTTCATCAATCAAATTTAGCAAGTGAGTCCAATCTTATATGTATCTTGAAGGAGTTTTTGAGTCTCCCTGGGAATATTTCTGAGCCAAATAAATATCAGAATTTATAAATGGACTGAAATCCATGAGGAAAAAACTGAATAATAATGAAGAAAGTCTTTATTAAAGGTTACCCACCTGCATTGTCACCACAGAACATTGTATATTATGGACATTAGTCTTATCCTTGCTATAATTTTTCCATGAGCAGTGAAAGTATTAACCTCTCCATTGCCTTCTCAGGTGTGAGCTGCAGCCTCACATGAGCCGCATCCCCATTCGGAGGGTGGGGTCAACTGACCTCACTCTCACACTCCACAGTACGTCTTCTACTAGTAACAATCCATCCTCATTTGGAGGAAAAGATGTGTCAGCCACCATGAAAGTCTGGAAGCTGCTTAGACCTGGCCTCCAACGACACCCGTCACTGTCAGGTATGCATACACATACATACAGTGCTGTGGTATTGCTTCTATTTAGCCTAGAGAGGGAGTTTTAAAGAACCATTACAGAATATACTTCCTCGGATCCACTTTCTTTTTTTAAACTGCATGCCATTGCTAGTCCCTTCTTTGCAGTGCATAAACTATACCATACACATTTAATATGATTAGTTTATTTCACTGTATAGGTGTATCTGGGAAAGAGAGTGCCTCTAAAGCACTAATGAAGAGGAGCACAGACAGGAGTTTACACTACAGTGGAAATGCCGTCAGAGAAACTGCACCAGAGATGAATAAAACATTGCAACAGGTGAAAACAGATTTGCACACTTGGTGCCAAATTGCATTAAGATAACATTGCAGAACCGGAGTCCAACACGCACTGGAAACAAGTCTGACTTACTGCCGGCAATGCGAACCAAGCTCCTGCTCCGATCGTACAGGGACCGGGTGGCCCTTAGCAAAGGGCCCCGGACCTCGTACTCCCGGAGCACCCCCCACAGGGCGCTGCGAGGGACACGGTCGAATGCCTTCTCCAGATCCACGAAACACATGTGGACTGGTTGGGCAAACTCCCATGAACCCTCCGCCACCCTGAAGAGGGTATAGAGCTGGTCCAGTGTTCCACGGCCAGGACGAAAACCGCATTGTTCCTCCTGGATCCGAGGTTCGACTATCGGTCGAATTCTCCTCTCCAGTACCCTGGCATAGACTTTCCCGGGGAGGCTGAGGAGTGTGATCCCCCTATAGTTGGAACACCCCCTCCGGTCCCCCTTCTTAAAAAGAGG